ATAAAATAAAAATGAGCCAAATAAGGTTAATTTTAAATTACATGGTAATGATGATGATTCATCATCTAGTTAATTTTCTAATATATTTTTTCGTAGAAGAAATATATTAATTCCTAAATTAATTCATGAAGAAGATATTTTTACTTTTCAATCTTCAAATACACCTTCTTGTAGAAGAACAAGTAGGTCGATTGGTGATTTAACTGATGAAGAAAATATATCAACTTCTAGGCCATCAACCTCTTATAATACTAGAGTTAGATATCAAGATTCACAAAGTTCTATTTCAGATATATTTTATCAATTCAGAATACAAGATGAAATGGGAAAATCATTAATATCGATTTTATTATAGAAATCGTCGAACATGAATCTGATAATAGACATTAAAAAGATTTTGATTTTACTTTTTTACCTCAAAGACGTATAAGAAAATATACAAATCGTTCAAAATCTAGCATAAATCCTTCTAATGATCCTGAAATAGAAGCTGATCAACATTCAGAATCTTTAGAATTTACCACTGAAGAAGATTATATTATAAGTGAATCTGAAGATGATGATATTTCTGTAGAGGATGATTTTGAAACCTTTGAAAATTATGCATCACCAAATTACGAGCTATTTTAAAATCTACTAAATACAGAATCAATTGATAACTGATTTTTGTGAATTTTACTTTAGATCATATTATTTCAGACAAGATTCAACATTATAGAGTCTGCAACTGAAGCATTAATAAAATTTATAAAATTGGTTTTGACAGAAATCAGAGGTGACAAATTTAGAAATTTTTCAAATTCAATATACTTAACGAAAATAGCATTTGAATTAAATGACCAATTTTACCATTTCGTTTCTTGTTCCAAATGTCATAAGCTGTATTAAAAGCAGAAAGTGGTGAATTTTCAACAGAATAATATGCTGACTGTAATGAAATATCAGCATATAGAATTTTCCAATTTGTCAATTCGCAAAACACGATTTTGCAATACTCCATTATCTCAAAAAATCGTATCGATAAATCGAACTTTAATTTGACCTAATTTAATCTTTTCGTTTTCTGAAATTTAACAACAACTCATTTTTATGTATTGTTGGCCTAATTTTGAAACTAGCATGAGACAATGAACTAATCATCAGCGTTTGACAACATTATAATTGATATATATGATAGTGAAGTATGGCAAACGTTAAAAGAATCTTCACAAGAAGATTAAATTTTTTTCAAAATGAAGTGGCCAATTTTTATCTTGGATTAATGTTAAATCGCGACTGGTTCCAGCCATATGGTGATACTATTTATAGCATCAGAGTAATATATGCTATTATATGTAATTTATCTCATAATATCTGATTTAAACGTAAAAATTTACTGACTCTTAATCTTTTATCTGGATCAAGCGAAGTCAGTTTACATAAAATAAATCACTATTTAGTGCCAATTGTAGATGAATTGGAATCACTTTAGGATGGATTTACAATAAATAAAATATATGAACATCCTGAAGGAAAGAACATTTGTGTAGCTTTAATACTTGTTTTATGTGATATACCAGCTGCTAAAAAAATATGTGAATATATTTTGGCTTTAGTATCATGTTATAGATGCGAAAAAAAGGCAAATTATGAAAATCATCAGTATAATTTTGTCAGAATGGATAATATCGATGATTGGTTCATTATATAAGATCTAATTGAGCATTATCAAAATGCGTTAGAATAGAGATGCTACAATTCAGACACTTTACAAAAACGATTTGTAAAATAAAGTAGTGTAAGATAGTCTAAATTATTACATTTGCCATATTTTGATCCTATAAAATATATCATAATTTATCCAATGGATTACCTATTTTTAGGCCTTCATGATAGATAGTAAAACAAATCTGGATCAATAAAGGGATTTTAATATCAAATTCCCTGAATAAGATTCAGAAAAAGATGAATGAGTTTCAGATTTCTTTCAATCTGAGTCGAATTCTAGGTAAAATTCATGAAGAAAAAGGATTTTCTAATTTTATGGCCGATCAGTAGTGAATATTTTTCACTGTATATGCTACTGTTTTACTTTGAGAATATCTTCTGATTGTAGATAAAAAGATTCTTACAAATTTCGTAAGAATTTGTACAATTTTAGTAAGCTAGGTTGTAGAATCAGATCTATTACATAAAGCACATTAAAGACTAATTAAGATGGTAAAGTTGATTGAAAATAATCACAGACATAACAAAATCACGTCAAATCTTCACCTTTCTCTCCATTTGTATGATTGCTTAAGAGACTATGATCTGTTATATGTGTTTTGGTGTTTTTCTTTTGAACACATGAATGGAATATTAGGTATTTTTTTTGAGAATTTCTTGAATAAATCGGCTTACTAATTTATGAATGATTTTAGGTTCTTTACTGAATAGTAATAAAAAAATTGAACCTAAACTAATGCGTCAATTGATGTTTAATATTCAAATTAACAGTATTATAAGTTCCAGTGGTATTGAGATAAAAGACTTGAATTGCTAGACAATTAGCCTTCAATTGATTTCCTTTTGAATACAGACGAATTTTCTTCTGATAAACTCTATTGAATTTAAATAAATTTACGAAATATTAAGGAATCAAATATTACTGGTAGTGAACCATTTCCTGGTGAATTCCTTAAACTATTATTTGATAATATAATTATTTTAAGCGAAATGCTTGATTTGATAGTTGAATACTACAATGTGACTTATATTACGTTTGATTTTAGAAAGTCATTCGATAAGGATTCAGAAGATAATATAATGATTCAGGTTAAAATAAATCAATTTGGAAGGTATTGAATTGATTCTGAAATCTTTGGATCGTTAATATCTTTGTAACATGTAAAAAATTCATACATTTAGCCAAATATATTATAAATGATGATACAGTCGATTGTTATCCTAGTTAAGTCCAATATTATTTTACACATAAGGTCGATTTGCCATCCAGAAAGGTTGAACATTTTTTAGCATTTGTTCATTAGTATAAACCTGCAAGTTCTCCAAATATACAGTATTATTTTAGCGAAGAAGAAACATGTAATATCAAATTATGGAATACTAAATTTTATCTGGAAAGTTATGATTATATAATACCAGTTTATCATATTTTAGATTAATTTGTACTGATTAACTATTGAATTTTAGCTCGGCAAAATACAAAAGAATATTTGGCTGTTAATCCAATTAATAGAAAATATCATTTATAAAATAAATTGAATATTTTTAGCATTATTTAGCTATTAATCCTAAATATCAGTTATATTTCCTTCTGAATATTATTTTATTTTGAAATATTTTAGTCTATTTTTGATGTATATCAATCAGATGTAAATCAAACATCAATTGGCTATAAATAAGATAGGTCAAATTTTAGCCAATTTTTGATGTTATGACGGATAAAATTCTAGATAGATTTAATTGGTAGAATAGGAAGTCAATTTTATTGCCATGTAGATCTTTTATAAAGATCATTTTGTTTATTTTATTGCTATTGATCAATTATGTAAATCCTTAGATATCAATTTTATTGCCTTTGATAATCACGTAAATCATAGATGTCCATTTAGTTGCCTGCAGATCTGGCAATTATATTGATACAGCAACTTTATTACCTAGCAAAATGGTAACTTTATTTCCTTCGATATATTTAGTTTAGTTTATTTTATTATTTATTCAACATGTATAAATATCTCTGTATTTTCTTTAAGTCTCAGCACTGACAAGATCTTAATCTTTTAGATACCGAACTTATATATATTATATTAATAAAGGAGTATAATTAACTAAATATAAAACTTATCCTTCACAAACCCCTTTGAAACTGTTATAAATTATCTGTGACCCTCTGCATTCGTGCAATTCCCTTCTGTTAATGAACTTACTATATGATATTGTATTAATTCGCTATATTGACTTTGAGTCTCTGAAACGCAATCTCTGAAATATTTTTGAGTTATCTTTATGTTTATCTTGTATTTATCTTACATGTTTATTATTGAGAATAATTCTTCGACGTTATTGTGAAACCTCACCTGTGATTCCTTAAGTAATTGTCTTAGTTTTATTTACCCTTTTGAGATTTTATTTGAAGTTACAAAACCAACATAACAACATATACTAATAAGCAATAAGTATACCAATTGGCTATAAATAAGATAGGTCAAATTTTAGCTAATTTTTGATATATATCAATCGGATGTAAATCAAATATTAATCATCTATAAATAAGATAGGTCAAATTTTAGCCAATTTTTTGACGTATGCCAATGCGCTATAAATAAGATAGGTTGAATTTCAGCTGATTCTTGGCTGATTTTTAGTGTATGCCAATTGGCTAGACCGATTTTTTGATAATTTGCTGAATTTAGGCTGAATTTAAGCCAATTTTTCGCATATCCAATTTTTTTGATTTCGACTAGTAACAGTGATGGCCAGTGATTCAAATAATTTCAAATGACTCAAATGATTAGTTACATATCATTTAAGTCATTTTGGCATTAAATGACAAATAACACGATCATTTCTAAACCAACCATTTTTTCACATTTTATGTACAAATTAGATAATTACATTATTCAATAATCTTTAATATATTTATTAAATACATATTTTTAATGAATTATATTTAAAAATTGTAAAAAATTTTTATTTAAATTTTTTTCTATTTGTAATTTACTATTTTAAATTAATTATTTTTTATATTTTAATAAATTATAAATAAATTATAAATAAATAATATGAAAACTTAAATAATACGAATTCAAATAATTTTTATTAAAATAATATTATTATTGGTATTTTCAATCTAACCTAAATTAGTCAATATATTCATAAATTCAGGTAATTTAAATCTATTATTGAAAATACTACTAAGATGCCATTTTGCAAGCAGATCATTAGTTAGATGAATAATATAATTTATAGCTATAAAAGCTGATTGATTTGCCTCATCACTATCTGAAAAATTTTCCTTACCAATAATACCTATCCAATTTTGAATTACATTCACCCATTGTGATATCATTGTCATTACATTTAAAATCAGGTTCATGAAATTGTATAAAGGATTCTTCTTCATTACCAATTATTATATTATTAGCCATCTCACTATCATTATTTTCTTCTTCAGAAGTTTCAGAAATATCTGAAACATTAAAAATTTTATAAGGTTGTATAGAAGTCGTTATATAATTTTGTTTATAAATTTTTTCTGATTTTTTAACTTCAAAGTTTTTTCTTTTATGCAAAATATTACTTCTTAATTGACTCATTTCAAGCACTTTTTTATGCTTTTAAATTAAAATAAAATATTTAATAATATATCAAAAAAGTAATAAATCAATAAAAGTCTAAATTTTACTTACATAAAGTCAATTTAGCCTTTTAGAGTATAAAATTTCATATTAGACCAGAGTCACTCTACTGAGACAAAATTAATACAAATTCTATATAAATGAAATGCAAAGTGTGATAATTCAAGTGCTTACCCTTTTGCTAAATTCTAAAAATCTATTATATTCCTACCAAGTTGATTAAAAGTTTACATATCAAAAGAATAAATTTTTCGTTGATAAGAAAGGTATTTATATAAAATATGTAGTGGTATTATATCAAATCAAACCTGATAATAATAATTGAATCACTAGTAAAATTGTGTATAAGAAAGATTTAGAATATTATTATTAAAAAATAAAAGATGATACTGTATATATAAAACTAAAGATAAAAGTAAAAGAGGTTATTTTCATTGATTTCAATAATTTTCAAGATAGGTAATCATTTGATTAGAAAAATCCTGTTATTCATCCAAAAATAAGAATTATTTCATGTAATTGTACTATATCATTTTGCAATTTATTTAATGCTATACAAAGCAGTAAAATTAGATTTTAAAGTTCATACAGATAGCTCCAAAAATTATAGTCATTAATGATGACAATTATATCTAAAGGAAGGAATTTTTTATCTGTATTTAGAATATGTCTTTGTATTTTGTAACTATTTCAAGATATAAAATGATCTTCAAGATGTTCAGGTGCAAATTTTGTAGCTAAAATCTAAAAAAATAAAATTAAATAAATATTTATTTATTAATCAATAAACTAAAGTATAAATTTATCTTAGTGTTACTTTAGTTTTTAAAATACTATGAAAATAGAAATAATAACTATTATAATGCATTTTACCTAAAGTAGTAAAAGCTATTATTTTGTTATATAATAATTCTTGCTTATTTCATAATAGACCAGTAAAATAAGTGAATGAAAATAACTAATAATTTTAACAACTCTTATTAAAGTTTGCTGATAAATATCTGATTCTTTAAAGATATTTCCTACTATGCATGATAAAAATATCTTATTAGGATAATTTTTCACATAATCCTTCTATTAAATAAATTAATTAATTAATACTTAATATATAAAATTTTAAAATAATAAAATTTATATATATTACGCAGCAGCATATTTACCTGTTGAGTCAGATACAAAACAATTTATTTTAATATGATTTTTTTCAGCTTTAATCATTATATTTTTAACATAATTAATTATATTTTCAGTTTTTGATTTTATATCTCTTATATCTTTTGCATTCTAAATGAGTATTTCATCTGTTGATATTATAAAACTAACATTAATTAAATACTCTTATTTAACATTTGTCTAACCATTAAATGTTGCTATTACTTTAATTTTATTATTTTATACAATTTTTGTAATAGATTCTATTAACATTTTAGTTAATTTTGGTAAAATTCAGTCACTCATTCTTTTCTGACTTAATAATTTTAAGACTGAAACAATAAATTCAAATACATCTTTTATTTTTTGATTTTCAAAAAAAATAAAAGATAATCCATTTAAAACTAATATTCGTAATAGTAAAATTTTAAAATATGGCTTATCTTTCTTTATTAAAGATCAAGATAAATAATTTGTAATAGGTAATTAAGTAGTAGTGATTGGTTTTGATAATTAAATTGAGATTTCGTTATCATCACCATCATTTTCTTTATCACTTTTATCTTCACTTTTAGAATCTAAAAATTATATCTTAAAAAAGAATATTGATATTTCTATTAGAAATTAAAAAATTAAAAGAACTTAGAAAAAAAGTGTAATTTAAAACTATTAAATATTTAATACCTTCAATTATGTTTATATTTTTCATGTCAATTTTTTTTTTAATTTTTTTATTATCTTCTGGTATATTTCTAGTTAGAATTTCTTTTCTTTTACTTTCTATTACTTGATTTTTAAAATTTGTACATTTTATAAGATGTCCGCAACAAAGTTTTACTTTATTTAAAACAAAACAACGCTGTTTATTAAAGAGTTTATTTAGTTAACAAGAATAAAATTATAAGTTTTATGCGTGCAAAATGTTAAGTTTGTTTTATTATTGTTATTAAATATATATTAAATACAATGTTAAGAACTTGTTGGAATCTGTTGGAATCTGTTCTTTTTCCAAGGCATTTTCATGCCCTTTATATAGGAAAATTACAATTAAAGAAAATCTATGGTATTTATGATACTACTGACAATAATAACAGAGCTAACAGATATGCTAATTATGTTAAATATGATATAAATGATAATAATAATATAAATAATAGAGATATAATAAATATTATGTATGTCCTATTTGGCAGATATAGCAGATTTGTCATATACGACTGGTTGGTCAGTTTCTGCCAGTTTCAATTTCCTCTCCTAAATTTTGGTCTTCGGACTAAATCAACATTGCTTCTTCCCTTAAAATTGATAATTTTTCTTTTTCGTTAAGCATATTTTAAAAAGGTTTAGATATCGAGAATGTTGAATCTGTTCTGGTCCTAGGAATTCAAAAATGAAATAGGTTCGTATTGATGCTATATAATAATATTTGGTAATCATGCCTTTAAAATAAGTACATTGAGCTAGAGAAAAAGTTTCTTTTTCTAATAATTGTTCAAGATAGAAGGCATTTATCATCATTAATATATGGTTCTAAGGATTGAGGCTCTCCTTAACATATGATAAGTTATTTCAATTTTCTTTTTCAACTTCATATTATCTGTATAAGAGGGTATAATAGAAATAAGGTTGTTGAAGATTCTTCTTGTCAAATCACTTTTGAAATCTTCTAAGAACATAATAAATAAAAAAAAATAAAGACAATAAAGATAATAAAGAAGATAAAAAAAAAATAAAAATAAATAATAAAAGGAATAGGTAAACTATATAACTATTTGAGGTTCCCAATTTTGTCGATCATGATATTGTTTTAAAAGATCTCTATTAATAGGTGTTTGTAAAAGTTTTCCATTCATTTCTCTTATTTTGTAAGATCCATTTAACAAGATTTGATGAATGTAATATGGTCCTTTCCATTTTGATTCTAGTTATCCAGACTATTGCTTTCTTTTGTCACATAGTAATACAAAACTTTATCCCTATTTTAAAATGAAAGATCTTCCTTAGGTTACGATCATGTCGATCTTTCTGATTTATTTGTGATTTTTCCACATGGTTTTTAGCTTTTCCTCTGATTTGCGGTAAATCATCCACTAAAGATTTTATATGTTGATTTAGAGTCACATTTTCTTCAATTGGTTCATCAAGAGGTAATCGTTCATCTCTTCCATATGTTAAATAAAAAGGAGATATCTTAGTTGTTGATTGCTTAGAAGTTCGATATGTAAATAATGTGGGTGCAATTTGCAAATCCCAATTTGAAATTTTTTGGGCAGTTTTGACTAAAGATTCACATAGAGTTTTATTAAATCTTTCTACTAGACCATTGGTTTGAAGATGATAAGAAGTTGATAGAAGATGTTTTATCTTAAATTTATTCATCAATTCATTTACCATTTGGTTATTAAAATGGGTTCCTCTGTCAGTTAATATCTTCATTAGGCATCCATGTCTGCAAATAATTTCTTCATAAATAAATTGAACTACTTGAGAAGCAGTTGCTTCTGGTACAGCCTTTGCCTCTG